CCCCTCCCAGTCGCTCCCCTGCCCCTGTGAGACTTCCCTCCATGGCCCCGCTGGAAATTCACAAAATACCAGACATTGCACATGTCTGGTATTTTCTGAATTTTTCTACTGGACAGACGGTGCAAATACCGGACTGTCCAGTAGAAAACCGGACACCTGGCAACCCTAATAGACCTAGCCTCTAAGGCTACGTCTACACTGCATCCCTCTTGCACAAAAGCCTATGCAATTGAAGGGTGGATTAGCATATTGCTACACTTCATTTGCATAATTAATTAGAGACTGTTTTTGCAAAAGAGGCTTTTGCGCAAAAAGGAACCATCTACACAGCTCTGTTTTGTTCAAAAACAGTCTCCTGCGCAAGAGCCATTCTTCCTGAAAAAATGAGGAAGAATGGCTCTTGCGCAAGAGGGTGTTTTTGCGCAAAACGGAGCTGTGTAGACAGCTCCTTTTTGTGCAAAAGCTTCTTGTGCAAACTATCCCTTAATTAATTATGCAAATGAAGTGCGGCAATATGCTAATCCACCCTTCATTTGCATAGGCTTTTGAGCAAGAGGGGTGCAGTGTAGACGTAGCTAGTGTGATCAGAATCAAGATCTATATATGGTATTTAAACAATGCCAGTCACTATAGTGACTAAGAATTGAGTGTATATAAACCAAACCTTCCAGTTTCTTCAGTCTGAATTCTATCCCTCAGTGCAGCCTTTCAGCTACTGAGTGTCTGAAATAACACATTATTTAAAAAGTAGTAACTCCTAGGGTGAGAGCGCTTTATTATGGAGGAATACTTGATCGTACTAGAGATCTGAGCTTGCTGGTAAATGTGGATAAGAGGGAGTTAAAAAACAACAGAAAATTAATAATCCTTTCTTCCGGCTGTAAACTGGTTCTGAACATTCCTTTCATTGGGGGCCGTGAATAGTTTGAGTAAGTCTGAATCACAGGTTTTATGGAACTTGTGACTAAAATAGCTCTGTAATCTTGTGCTATGCCTGGCATGGAAGTCCTGCCCCCTCTCCTTACCTTTATCTCAAATCAAACTGTTCTGTCACATTCCTTCCTTGCACAACATCAGCTCCTTGTGATGCAAGCTACCTAGTGATTAATACCCTTTTATGAGGTTGGTTTCAATGATCTGAGATTAAATCACCCTCGCTGTCTCAGAAAGCGTGAAGCCACACCCCACTGTGAGGAACTCTAATAACTCCAGGAATGCAAGAGAAGAAAAAAATATTCTTAAAAGAAACCAAATAAATACATAGCAATAACATCATCTGCATGGATGTGCTGGGAGCTTCCTGGTGGCTTTTTCACATCAGAAAAAGGCCAGTTAGTTCAATTGCTCTGCAAATCCTTGGGAAGGCTGTGTTCTTCTCTGGTAAGCCACCTCCATTCTCCTCTGCATGATCTCTCAAGGTATGTCTACACTACCACCCTAGTTCGAACTAGGGTGGTTAATGTAGTCAACCGAAGTTGCAAATGAAGCCCGGGATTTAAATATCCCGGGCTTCATTTGCATCTTGCCGGGCGCCGCCATTTTTAAATCCCCAGTAGTTCGGACTCCGTGCCCACGGCTACATGCGGCACAGAGTAGGTAGTTCAAATTAGGCTTTCTAATTCAAACTACCGTTACTACTTTTAGAAAGCCTAATTCGAACTACCTATTCACAAAGAACAAGTTAAAAGTCACTTAGGAAAGTTAGATGTCAGCAAGTCACCAGGTCCTGATGAAATGCATCCCAGGATACTCAAGGAGCTGATAGAGGAGGTATCTGAGCCTTTAGCTATGATCTTTGAAAAATCATGGCAGACAGGGGAGATTCCAGAAGACTGGAAAAGGGCAAATATTGTGCCCATCTATAAAAAGGGGAATAAGAACAACCCAGGAAATTATAGACCGGTCAGTTTAACGTCTGTCCCAGGGAAGATAATGGAGCAGGTAATTAAGGAAATCATATGCAAACACTTGGAAGGTAATAAAGTGATAGGGAATAGCCAGCATGGGTTTGTGAAGAACAAGTCATGCCAAACTAATCTGATAGCTTTCTTTGATAGGATAACGAGCCTTGTGGATAAGGGAGAAGCGGTGGATGTCATATACCTAGACTTTAGTAAGGCATTTGATACGGTCTCGCATGATATTCTTATTGATAAACTAGGCAAATATAACTTAGATAGGGCCACGATAAGGTGGGTGCATAATTGGCTGGATAACCGTAGTCAGAGAGTTGTTGTTAACGGTTCTAAATCCTGCTGGAAAGGGATAACAAGTGGAGTTCCTCAAGGGTCTGTTTTGGGACCCGTACTGTTCAATATCTTCATCAATGATGTAGATATTGGGATAGAGAGTACGCTTATTAAGTTTGCAGATGATACCAAACTGGGTGGGGTTGCGACTTCTTTGGAGGATAGGGACATAATTCAAAATGACCTTAGCAAGTTAGAGAAATGGTCAGAGGTAAACAGGATGAGGTTTAATAAAGAGAAATGCAAAGTGCTCCACTTAGGAAGGAACAATCAGTTCCATACATACAAGATGGGAAGCGACTGTCTAGGAAGGAGCATGGCGGAAAGGGATCTAGGGGTCATAGTGGACCACAAGTTGAATATGAGTCAACAGTGTGATGCTGTTGCAAAAAAAGCAAATATGATTTTAGGTTGTATCAACAGGTGTGTTGTAAGCAAAACTCGTGAAGTCATTCTGCCGCTCTACTCTGCACTAGTTAGGCCTCAGCTGGAGTACTGTGTCCAGTTCTGGGCGCCACATTTCAAGAAAGATGTGGAGAAATTGGAAAGGGTACAGAGAAGAGCGACAAAAATGATTAAAGGTTTAGAGAACATGACCTATGAAGCCAGGCTTCATGAACTGGGCTTGTTTAGTTTGGAAAAAAGAAGATTAAGGGGGGACATGATAGTGGTTTTCAAATATCTAAAAGGGTGTCACAAGGAGGAAGGAGAAAATGTGTTCCTCTTGGTTACTGAGGACAGGACAAGGAGTAATGGGCTTAAAATGCAGCAGGGGAGGTTTAGATTGGACATTAGGAAAAAATTCCTAACGGTCAGGGTGGTCAAATATTGGAATAAATTGCCAAGGGAGGTGGTGGAATCTCCCTCTCTGGAGATATTTAAGAACAGGTTAGATAGACATCTGTCAAGGATGGTGTAGACGGAGCTTGGTCCTGTCTTGAGGGCGGGGGGCTGGACTCGATGACCTCTCGAGGTCCCTTCCAGTCCTATTATTCTATGATTCTATGATATTTAAATCCCGGGCTTCATTTGCAACTTCGGTTGACTACATTAGCCACCGTAGTTCGAACTAGGGTGGTAGTGTAGACATACCCTCAGAGCTGAGCAAGTTACTTGAAGAAAATGGTAGGCATGGAAAGAAGAAAACAGGTGGAGCTGCTGCTCTTTAGTTTTTTAGTAATAGAAAAACAATAGAATTAGAGGCCTGATTCCACTCTTGCTCACATAGTCATAATTCCACTGACTTCTATTTGCATCAGTGTGAGGGAGGAATCAGGTTCTAGATGTAGTTTAGGAGTAGCATGTCATCTAAGCATTCCTTGGCCTTTTGCTATTGTAAAGAAACCATAGATGAAAGAAGGCATAAGGCTTGAACTGGACACCTACTTATTTACAGACAACTAGTCAAACACTAGACAATAATCTCTGCATTATTCAGAACCAGCATGAAAGCTGCAGTTTCTTTGTCTTGGGTAGGGCTGGGCCTTATACTCGAATCTGCATGCAAAATTGTACTGGTTTAACCAAATATATGATTTTGAACTGATTTAGTTAAACTGACACAACTTTATGTATGGATGTTCATTTATTAGTTTAATCCTGATTTATATCTAAATATAAAATACAAATCAGGAGTAAACCAATATATAGCCAATACACTTATAAAATTCATTCACTTTTCAGAGATATTACTGGTTTTAGTGGAATTCTCCCTTTTAAGTATAGAGAATATTGTTGGATCTGGTAATATCTCTAAAATAAAACACTTTTGAAGTATGCCAGTGTATTGCACCAGTTTAACTTTTAAACCAATTTAAATCAGACTTGTGTAACTATTTTGGGTATGCAAAACATTACAGATTGCAGACCCTGAGATATTGGAGAGATGGATCAGTCTGTTAGTTGGTTCCTTTTCCTTTTTTGGTCCTGCAGCTGACATCAATTCCAAGCATGTAGCTCTGTTCTAAAAAATGGCTATAATCTAGTGTCATGCTTCAGGGTTTCATTGGTTGCCTGAAGGGGATACTGAAGGTTTTTTCCTTCCCATGTACAACTGTAATCTGGGACAAGATATTGGTTGATTGGGTGGCTCAGGCCAAGTCTATACTAGGGAAGAAAGTTAACCTAAGGTATACAACTCCAGCTATGAGAATGTAGCGGGAGTCAACATATCTAAGGTCAAATTTCTGTGGTGTCCCCACTGCAGGAGGTTGAAGGGAGAAACTCTCCTGCTGATTTCCCTTACAGCTTGTGATCCGCTGGAGTTCCGGGATCAACAGGGAAGCTATCAGCTGTCAATTTAGCTTGTTCTTACTAGACCCACTAAATTAAACCTGGAAAGATTGATCTCCAGAGTGTTGATCTCAGGGTAAGTGGAAACAAGTCCTCAGTGATCTGAGATGGTACCAATAATTGTGTTTAGATGCCTGATTGGTGTCTTGTTCACATTCTCAGGCGCTAAGTGATCCTTAGAACTGGGGTTTGGAAAGAATTTACCTGCCAAGTCAGATTGGCAGAGACCTTGGGAGTTTTTCAACTTCCTCAATAGCATTGGGCCTGGATCACTTCCTAGGATCACCTGGGCATGTGCCACCCAATCAATTCCCTCAATTGAAGGGACTTGGGGCATTAGCAGCATCCTGTTCTCTGCCCGTGGAACAAGACAGTCTATTTTCTGAGGACTGAAATGCTTTTTAATGGAAATCATTGGACTCAAAAGAGCGATTTGAGTGAAAACGGATGGCTCGTGAAGTGCAGGACAGACTAGATAATTTAGTGGTCCTTTCTAAACTTCACAAAACCACGTGCAGGAATCCCTAAAAGTAAAGAGCCTCGGAAAATTGATTATCTTTATTTGTAGATAAAACCAGTTGCACCCATACTCCCTCACAACACCCTGAGGTGTATTCTGTCTCCATTCACACATTCCCAGCATCGCAGGTGTACTTTGACCCTCTGTAATCCCACCATAGATGATGCACTAGTCTGTGGTGCTCATAATCCCGGAATTGTGAGGACGAGTTCTTTAATCCCACTATTGGGCGGTGCCTTGTATCTACCATAGTCCCAGCACCCGGGGTTACTGTGCCCCCCTGCAATGCCAGCACTGGGGGTTACTGGGCCTCTGCAATGCCACGATTGGCTGCGTGCTGTGCCCCTCCCCCGCAGTTCTGAGAGTGCGTATTTATCTACAATAACCTCTGCCCAGTGACTGACACCTCCCGCCCCACTCCCATGCATAGCATTCGCAGCCACGCATGCGCCTTCCACTTAGGAACGGGGAGAGTGTTAGGGGAGAAATGCGTTGGACGCATGCGCACTGGCTGCAGGTGCGCCTAGGGCTTTCTTTCCTTCTCCCTCGGCGGGCGACGGGTACGCACGCGCGCTCGTGGAATAACCTCTGCCCAGTGACTGACACCTCCCGCCCCACTCCCATGCATAGCATTCGCAGCCACGCATGCGCCTTCCACTTAGGAACGGGGAGAGTGTTAGGGGAGAAATGCGTTGGACGCATGCGCACTGGCTGCAGGTGCGCCTAGGGCTTTCTTTCCTTCTCCCTCGGCGGGCGACGGGTACGCACGCGCGCTCGTGGCAGGTGCACCGAAACTCCTCCGCCCTGCTGTGAGTGCCCGGCGCGCATGCGCTGTCTCTCCTCCCCCTCCCTCCCCAATCCCTTCACCGAGCGGCAGGGGG